GTGCAAAATACCCTTCAAAAACCCACACAAGCCATTTTTGTCAGCGAGTAGGAGAGCTTCAGGCATTCTGGTATCTGAATGCAAGTTTACAAGCCTGCTAGTACAGCCAGAAGACAAGTCTCAAGGATTTTGGTAGGGTTTACTTTGTTTTCCCTTTGGGGGAGGGAAAAGAAATAGAAGAGAGCATGCTTGAAGGAAAGACATGTTAGAGATCAAAATTCTGCCTTGAGTCTCATCCTTAGTTTATTCCACTTTCTGGAGTGTTTATTATTTTATGTGAATAGATTACCCATAATTTACAGAAGGCATGGATATAATGAGGAACGTTCGTATCAGAATATAAATATTAGCTTTAAAAAGGAAAAAAAAAAATATTGTTTCCTCTTGTCATTCTATGGTTTGATACTTGCTCCAGCAACTGCTGCTACTCCTGTTAGCCAGAAATGGAGGCAAACAAGTCTGGCTGAGCTTGCACACCGCTAATGGAAATGCACACTCGTCACGTCAGCAATATTACTTTCTTACTCTCCAGGTCAAATGCCAAGGACACATTAGGACTTCAAAAAAATGTTACAAAATCTCAAAGGTCAGAGGTGACCAAAACTCACTCACTCGGCAGTGATACATGCACTTTGGATTTGCTCTTCAGCAACAGAGCCCAGGGACACAGCGACCATGGGGAATGCCTTACTGCTGCAGGGACATCTGCACACAACGCCTTGGTCACTGGGCATCCAACATCGGAGAGAAGCAGCCTTTTGTCTCCTTCCAACTCAGCAGCCTGGAAAGACTGCCAGCTGCACTATTTTGGCCTCCGTACTCACCAACAAGCTTAGACTGCTACCCAGAGGAGCCCACAGCCCAGGAAAATCAATTTTGACCAGTAATGTCAGACTTAAAGAGGAAGGACAAGCAGACTTTCCTCAAAGACGTAAGTACAGGCTAACATCATCATTATCTACAGACCCCAAAGGCCATAGCATCAGCTGGCATCAGCTCTATCTCCAGCAACCCTACACTTACTTATACCAGCTGAATATCAAGCCTTTTAGATTTACTTAAGGTACAGAGGCGTCAGTGAATACAGATTTCAGTAAATCTTGCTTTCTAAAATATTATTCATCAACATATAATTCAAATGGTAATTAAGAAATGTTCACATGATTGATGACACATTTAAATTACAGGTTCCAGCATTTTTTTTCCAGTAAAGACGACTTCCTTTTTCACGTGCTGCTTTTTCAAAGTGCAAGTCCATCTAACAGATGTCTCTCAGATCTGCTTGTCAATGTAACAAGTTAGACTTTTTTTTTTTATTACGACAAATGGTATAAACCACACAGCATTCTGTTAAACTCAATATTGACACATCTGCTTACCACGTGTATTAGTAGCCATGTCAGCCACTTTCTGAAAGGCATCCAAAAAGGCAGCAGCTGCTACTACTGTAGTCCTGAAATGCATACAGATAACAAAACATTAGCAGTGTCTCATTGCTGCCTATTTAATTATTGCCAAAAACATTTAGGCTTATAAAGAATACCACTGTGAACTTGCAGAGGCCACAAAAATATCCTCTTTTATATCTGAATTTAGCCTTTTCCCTCCTTCATTTCTTAATCCCTTCCTCGCTTTGTGTTAGCATTATGGACTTGGAGGCAGCCACGCTAATTCTGTGCTGTGAATTGCACAGGACAGGTGCTATTTCAAAAGAGCACAGCCATCCCCCTTCTAGCTGGTTTCCTCTGATGAACTAATATTAAGCAGTCAAACATGAAAAACAAATCTAACACACATTATACTGCACCCATTAGTGTACAAATTACAGTCACTGCTATTTCCAGGGAACATGTGTATTTTATGAATAAGCAGGCAGGACCTTCCTTTTATCTAGGATCCTGGCCAAACACTTTCCTGAATTTCTCATCTGAGGAGCATGAGCATCCCCTGAAACAGAAAACAGCAACTTCTTGGAAATCAGGCTGGTCTTGGAGTTCTTGGGCAAATGGGAAAGAGGGAAAAGAAGAAAAAAATCTCCAAAAAAAAAAAACAAAACCCAAACCCAACCCCCCCCCAAAAATAAACAAAACCAACAAAAGCCCTTTCTGATCCAGTGCTCCTCCAAGCAGGTCCCTTCCTGAGAGGTATACCAGCAATCTTGGAGACTCCGCAATCCAAAGCATCAACCCCACTAATCCCATCTTCCTCCAGGTTTGGAAAGCACATACAGACCGTATATCTCTTCAAGTGGACAGCGAACATGAGTCACAATTTGCCGAACACGTTTGTTCTACATAAGCAGGCCCTAGAGCCCTAAACACCTCAGGTCCGTACCAGATTTCCAATGGGTTTATAGTCTGGTTGACCCAATTTAAGCAAAAGTAGGCCAGGGCTCTACAGGTAAAGCACAACCGTGCCCTCTACACAGTTACCTCGTGGTTCTGTTTCCCCACATCTTTTCTACCAGTAACTCTGATCTCTTCTCCTGATAGTAACAGTCAGCCTCTCCAAGCAAAATCCTGAAGGAGGACCATCAACTTCACTTTGTTTCAAGAGCTCCTTGCTACCCTCCAAAAACTCAGGAGACCTGCAGGAAAGCTGATCCTCAGCCAAAAAGACCACAGGACTGCTTAATTAGGTCAGATTTTATGCAAGTCTCGCTCCAAATATGCTCAAGATACTGGGGACATAACTGGCAGCGTAATAAATGGCCTACTGACAGCACAAAAGATTTGAACACACAAAAAAAAAAAACCAGGCTTGAGAGGACCCAAAGGCATAAGGACTCTCCACATGCCCGTGAGATTAAAGGGAAGGCAAAAAAAACCCCACAACCCAAACCTGACAGCTAGCTAGCAATATTGAGCCCTGGAACTAGATAACCTTTTCTGGGTCTTTCCTTAACAGTGTTTATGTTCTTCATCTTCCAAACTTGTGGGTCGTGCTGTTATTAGTGTACCATGCTGTCAATTATTAATTATATTGCTAAATAACAAAGTTCTATTTCTCCAGTAACAAGATCCAGGAAGACCTGGCTCCAGCTCAGATGACATCTGCTGTCCTTTATCAGAGTACACAGAAATGAACCAGAGGCAAATGGCTCACATTTGCTAGAAACGGACAGCAAATCCTCGAACACAGGCTTTCAAGCTGCCTGCTTGCATGTTCCTGTAGCTAGAAAAATACTACACTGATTCAATGCAACACCACAGGGCTGGGAATAAACAAAACTATTCCGCATGCCTTCCCAGAAAGCCTGTGTGTAAAGAGTACAGAGGACTACGAAAGTTCTCCATTTCTATTCTTTCACTACTTCCTCTGCTTCTTCCATACTCAATGCAACATGATTGCTGGAAAAGGAAAAACCACATGCAAGTGTGATATTTTAAGCATGGTGTAGCAGAACAGCATATTCCAGTTGTTTAGGGCAGATGAGCCTGAACCCTAGCTTCTTCAGAAAGGGTTCACAACGCAATGCAGTACTGCAAGATAGACTGCCAATAACCATACCCATTTCTCCTGCTGCTGTGAAAAACCCCCATGCTCTGGAGAGCACAGCGGAGACTGTGGTTCAGGGAGAGTTGTGAAGAAATGGAGCTTGGATTCATATTAGCAGAAACAAATTTTACAAGTGAATGAATTCTAGAGATAGCCAAACTGGTCTGAGTGCGACACATATGGCACTTACTAAGTAACCCAGAGTGCCATTTGCAAAAAGTATACCCCAATAAAGTTTTAATCACCATCGATAAGTGATCTAGCACAGGAATTCCCTTTGGTTTTAAGCCAGAAAAAAAAAAAGCACTGTTAAGACTACCAAAGAATCTTTAATATTTTGAGCCCTCTTTAATATAAACCTATTGTATTCCACACTAATAAAAAGGACAACATAGGGCTAACTCCAAATGTGTGTTCACTAAACAACAATAAAATGTCTTTCCAATTTTCCATCAGAAGCCACAAAATTTAGCTCATTTTATGTTTATTATGTACAGCTGGTGATAGATTATGCATTTTCCCTAAACCTATTAAAACAGCAGTAGTAGTATGTGAAAAATTACATATAGGGGTGTTGACTATGAAATACACACAATTTTACTAAGACATGCTTAGCAAATTATCCTGGCAGAAGCTGCATTTAATCTTAATGTTTGCACATACAAGGAATTGTAGGGGATCTTGACTGTTTAATACAAAACTTACCGAAGCTGAGACTGCAGTTTCCCAGCTTTATTTATAAAATCTTCCCACACTGGGTAACTTCCCTGCAAGAAAAACAAAACACAAGAATGAATACACTTTGAACATTCTGGGTTTGATACTCCAGACAAAATGAAACCAGAAGTAAAGCAATAAGTAAGACTTTACTAAATCCTAATCCGTTAACACCAAAATATATTTGCCCAGCAAGTTCTCTCTCTCATCCTTAGACACCAGTCCCACATAGATGGGATGTCATCTGCTTCTGAATCCAGATGAAACAGTAGGTCCTCCAAGGAGGCTTTACAGGTTTTCCAGGTAGAAACACTGCAGGAAAAGAGGGATTTCAACTGAAGCAGAGAAAAGAAATGCCTTACTTGGGATGGATACAGCAAGACCAAACCTATTAGAAGCGGGGTGCTAGGATATTGCAACAACATGTACAGAGAAGTTCCCAAAACCAAAGGCAGGATCACAGTTGTTCTCTACAAATGGATTATCTGTCATTACCAGGTTCCCATCCTCTTTTAAAAAAAAAAAAAAAAAAAAAGAATTATTTTAAAAGCCTTTACAATAAATGTCCGAGTTGACCAAGAGTCCACCTCAAACACTGTCTCAAGGTAACTCACTAATCGGGCGCAGAAAAGGCACAGCGGCCATAGGACAACAAACTTTCCCAACAACTGCCTTGTAATTGCAAGGCCTGCTTCCAAAACAGTCCCGAACGACCTTGGAGCCAATTTCTGAACTGAAGCTGATGAAGCAGCGTGGCTTTGAGCGTATGCAAAGTTTTTAAGAAGGTTTAATCCTTGACTTCAAGTTTCCTGTAAACTTTTTCCCCTTCTTAAAATTGGGTTAAAGCCCATATTCATTTAGAATATGGACACCAAGTGTTCTTGCAAGTTCTGGTCTTTATTTTCCAAAGCTTAAAAAAAAAAAAAAAAAAGCAGTGATTTTTATGGTTTAAAAAAAAAAATCATCCTTTTTAGGCCAAAAAAAGATTAACTTGCTCTCTGCAGAGCAAGTACAATTTTTCTGTTAACAGCAAAAATCACGGTAGAAAGAAACCTCAAAATTTCCCTTTGATTGGAGTCTAGAGAGTAAAATAAAATATCCCTGCTTCCTTTAATAAAGGTATAAGACTTGCTGTTACCAGAGCAACGACACAATAAAATCCAGATAAGGCAGATCCTCAAGGCTAACATTACCCCAGCTCTGACTGAAAGAGGTTGCAAGCAAGTGCAGTTGCTTGTAGCAAACTCGATCCACCCTGATAAATTGGTCCGCTTCTTGTAAGTAAAACAAAATCCATTGCCCACACTGCCATGAGAGGCCACATCTTGTTCAGGGCAAAGACAGCCCCTTCCCCAAAAGCTGACAGCCAAATTCCAGCTCCTCAATATACCCCAGCAAGGCAGCTCCCAGACATTCAAGCACCACAGGCAGATCCACTGGAATTAGCCCCAGAGTTAAAACCAAAGGTATATCCCAAGCCTCCCTTTTGACCCTGGCCTTGGTCACGATTTTATGTCCTCTACTTATCATATTTTGAAAAAATACTATGTTTTTGCAGAGGTGTCATCTGTACATCTCCCACACAGTCACTGCACAGCAGGGCTCGGGCAGTGCCACGATACACCCAGCTGCAGAAGCTGCTGCCGTAAGGCCACTGTCAAGGGTACAAACTGGTACTCTACAGATTTTCAGCAAGGGTTGTGGGGGTTTTGCTAAAAGAAAAAACAAGTAAAAATACAAAAAAATACCCTAATGTAAAACAGGTGTTCATAAAACCTAATTATACCTACACACAAGGGAGCCAGTGGGAAATGCAGAAGGGGACAGAGAAAATAACAGTTATCTGGGTGGCGAGACCTAGAATATAAAATGGTTAGCGCTAAGCAAAAACTGTCAGACACTTAAAAAATGAAAGAAACCCACCAATTATTTGAAAGAGGAAAAAAATGCCATTTCCTTAAACCTATTAGTCTTACTGAAATTCCCTACTCTGAACCCCGTCTGTCAATGTTTGCCTGCATGCCGTATATGCATTATGCATGTGTATGCCAGGAGCCCTGAAAGCCTTGACAATTAACAGCAGGGCCTAAGGCTTTACTGGATTCTCGAGCAAAACACAAGCCGGCAAGCGGAGGATACCAAAGCAGCCTGATTATGTTTCCATCTCGGTGGTGTATTATCCAGCTAAACGTGCCTGATGGCATGCAGGAGATTGACACCAGCCTTGCGTTTAGCTGCTTCACAGGGAAGCTTAAGACACTCCTATCAAAACACAGCTCAGGAAGAAAACACCTTTTTTTTTTTTTCTCCTCCAGACTGGCCACAAAGCAAGCAAAATTGGAATAGTCACCAAGCATTTCCACGATTATTGATTCTTTGTCTTTAAAAATGTTGTTCTCTTCAAGCCAAGCCTACTTAAATAAGCTGTAACAGCTCACTTAAATTGTTTGCTGTACACTTGTTCAGTTGAAATCAATGCAACCTCTTCACCTGGGCACTCCTACACTGGTCAAGAGCACCCAATCTCATTTTGAACAGTAGAAAAATGCAACACTTTTTTTTTAAATATCACTGAATTAATAAATCGGGTGGTGGGTTTTGTTGGGGTTCTATTTTTACCGTTATTGTGGTTTGGGGGGGTGACGGTGGTGTTGCAATTGTTAAAGAAAACCTTTCAGCAGTTTTGCACCAGTCACATGAATTTCTGCATTATCTGCTCAGCTTGGGGTATCTTGATTGGTTTTCTGAAACTCTTAAATTCTCTCTAATGAAGTCAGCTGAAAACGAGGAGGAATTTATTTCACTTTTCCCTGCCAAAGCCACGTCCGCAAGCTCACCTCTCTCTAACACACAACTCAAGTCTTGCACATAAATTCTATTGTCCCTTTGAGCTTCTCCAGAAAACACTTCCACCATCACATCCCTGCTGAAACCAAAACCCCACTGATTCCTACCTACAGCAGAAGTGCACAATGCCTACCACTTCACAGGCCCTCGTAACTGGGTTTATCCCACCTCCAGCACCTGGGAAGCAAGGAAGCCATTTAACAATGCTTGTGGGGAGAAACCAAGGAGACGACGCTGGAATGGGACTGGTCTGTGGATACTGCATGGCTCCAGTACGCTGGGGAGCAGCTCCTTCTACGAGACCTCTTCGTGTGCCACCTTGAGCATGGCAGCTCCGCTGCCGCTCAGAGTCTTACCTCCACGTTTGCAATAATAATTCTTGCTTTTGTCAAAGTGGCCATCAAGAGAAATGTTAATGGTGGTGGAAACCACACAGTGAAAGAGCCATAAAACTTCATCCATGATTCTACATGTATTACTTTCTCAATTCAAACACAAAGAAACAGCAGGTGGAATACAATGTCTTTGTCTAAGAAGTGCTTCTGCAACATAAAGCCACTTTTGAAGACTAGTAACACAGTATTTTTAAATGCTGTCTCTCCCAGAGCCACCTCTGCACCTTCTGCAATTTCCAATTTCAACAGGCTGATAAAGGAAATCAATTTTCCCCCCTTTAAATGTCAGGGTTACTCAGGCCCTGGCATTATCTGTGAAAGCAGCAGATCTCCTCCACCTCCGGCCCAGCTCAGGGAAGAGCCACTACGGAAATCTGGGTCACAAATCCTGTTTTTAGCTCCTCACGGGTTAAAACAGAAATCAGTTACAGTGTGCATCCGTTTAAATGGTCTTCTTGAAAAATCATTAATGGTTTGATCTGGGGACTATCTCCCCCAAAATAATTTTGTGCCCAATTATTTCGTCACTGTCAGATGAAGAAATGTGATGTGTCTTCCATGAAATGGGTATTTCACCATTACCATATGGCACCCCATGGCGCCAAGTCCCCTCAAGCTGCTCAGCTTGGCCCAGCCCCGAGCTGCTCGCCTGGCCACCCACCCATCCAGGCATGTCACAGGTAAGCCATAACATGCCATTATCCTACCCTATTGCTTAATTAGTCTGTTTGTAGGTGATTAGTCACCTGATCCCAGGGCCCAGCTCCAGCTAATCTATGCTGAACACAGGCAGGGAACCACCTTTCCACCTCAGGGCTGAAAAACAAAATGGTGCCTCGTGCCTGTCACCAACATAGCCAGTCCACAATTAGGGACATGAAACAACTTTCCCTCAGGGACAGGCACCACAAGGATTGCTTGAAGGGCACCAGGCTGAGCTGGCAAAGCACCTGCAAGTGCCAGACACCAACACCCAGACCCACCAGCGTCCCAGACGGCCTCCTCCATAGTGGCAGCTCCCAGCGATGGGTCCTCCCCGCCTGGCGGTTGGGCGGGAAGGAGAGGGGGCACCATCTTCAGTCAGTGAAATCCCATCTGATATCCAGACCCATGGACGTGGGCAGATGTTTTAATTTTTGTCTCTCTTCCTCACCATTCAAATCTATTTTAATTGGCAATAAATTTCACCTTCCCCGCTCGAGTCTGGTTCACTCATGACAGTAACTGCTAAGTGATTCCTTGTCTTTGTCTCAACCCATAAGCTTTTTCATCGTGCTTGCATCTCTGTCCCGTTGAGGAAGAGGAGGAGGAGTGAGAGAGCAGCTGGGTGGGCGCCTGGCAGCTAGGCAAGGGCAGCCCACCACACCAGGGAAGAGCAGGCAATGCTCACTAACAGGCAGCTTTGGAAGGAGCACTTAAAACCTGGTTGGATGAAGAACCCCTTTTTTCTGTGAACCAGCACAGCCACCCTACACAAACACAACTCTCCAAGAGATTTACTGAAATGTGTTTTTCCCTTCCTTTCACGCCAGCAATCCTGCAGTAGGAGTGAGGAGAGACACAGATGAGAAACATGGTCATTTCTCAATAAAAGAAGGGCAGACTCGCAGCAAAGGATCGTATTTACCGAAACTGTTATTGATTATATCTAATGGCAAGAACAGGAACCCAGATTGTTGTATTTATTTAAGATTACAACTTGAATATCAGCAGTCTTGACAGTTTAAAACTGTTCTGTCACTCCTTCTGCTAAGAAGTTATGATTTTTCTTTTTCCATTAAGAGAAAAGACACTTCCTTTAATAATTT